GCTATTTCGTATCAACTTATATATCAAAATTCAAAAGCAGACAATTCCCCATTTATTTATATATATATATATTAACTCATATATATATATATATATATACATGATGATGATGATGATGATATTTCCAAGTTGCAACTTGTAGGCCCACGTCTCAACTTGCACTCTCCCGACCCCACCAATTCATTTTAAAATCTTTTCCGGCCAAATTCCTCCCCTTATATATATATATAGTACGTTTCCATATTCTCATTATAATTCATCGGTTTTCTACACTTATTCCTTTTTTTTTTTTCTAGAAACAGGTATACCTAATGAAAATGAACCCTATTGCGCTATCTATAGGCCACGATTTATAATTGAAATTAATACTAATTATGACCCCCAATAAATAAGTTGTATATGTCTATGTTAATTCCATGAAACCAATGTTTCATTCTTCATTAAAATTCCATATATAACTATAAGTTGCTTCGAGTTAGATATACGCCGCAGCTCCAAAAACATGTAGTAGTGTCGTGTTTCCTTATTTTGAAGTATACAAGTACATTACATTAAAAAATCTAAATAATAATTTTGTTGGGCTACGTACACTTTTGCAAATGTGATATATATATATATATATATATATATATATTGTTGAAAGACCACTTGGGGAGACACGCCGTGACTCTTGTGATGTATAAAGGACATGCAACTTGCACAATTTGTTATGTTATTTAATATTATATCATGTGGAATAAAGCATACAACGAAAAGAAGATGCAAGTAAACAACTTGCAAGTTGCATGTCCGTTTGTTTACGAAGGAACATTATTTTTTTAAAAAAATGACAGCTTGAGTTGTTGGGTATATCAAAGTATGGTCAAGTTGCAGCTTGTTGATTATTCAATCTTATCAATATATATACACACGGAAAGATACACGCGCATACATATCTGATACATAATATATATATGAATCGTACAGATACAATATATAATAAATGGCCCATTACATGCTAGTCTCTCCGCCAACTTATCATCCGCATATAAATAACACAACTTTTTATAAATTTTTTAGATAAATACCTATATTTTAAAAAAATTACCAAATAATTTAAAATTATGTATTTTTCAAATAAAAATAGTCAATATCCTAAATAGATTTTGAATTTTTTTTAAATTAGATATTTCTTTAGAATTTTTGACCAATTCTGATATTTATATAGAAATTTTATAATTCAATTATTTATTTAGAATTTTTCCTTTATCGAAAGTCAAAAAATTTGTTAACGATTTTGATTTTAGATATTTATATATATACGATTTTTCTTTATCGAAATTTTCTATAGAATATATATTTTTGAAAATTTTAGATATGAAAATTTATGCCGATTAATGTAGTTATAATTGTTATTTTCTTACATTAAATGTCTTAATTTGTCCGTTATTTGGACATTTTCTTCTTAGAAATGTGAGGTTTTATCATATCATCAAATGAATTGTATTCATTTGTTCGTTTTAGTTTAGTACCAAGTAATGTATGTTCCTTAGTAGTATAGATTCTGGACAGTGGACGGACAATCTTTACAAATTTCCGAATTAGCTAGGGCACAAGTGTTTGAAAATAGATCTGAAAAAAGCATAATCGTATATTATAATTATATGTATCCTACATGTAAAACATTATATATATATATATAATATCAAGAACACTGCCGTCGACGAAAAAAAAAATAAAGGAATTTCTCGATCGAGGGCTGTTCAAATTCCCACATATTATAACCATCTCTGAAATTGATCTACCAAAAAATGGAAATGTATAGAACAATATAAAATCTCTATATTGTCCACTTGGAACGATGATAGATTCGTTCGTATATTAGACTATGTAAGTCGTAACTCGACTAAAATTTAATGTGAATCGAACTATGTGTATGGATATATATTGTACGTACGCTTGTGTTTGTAAATGCTTATAATCTTATAAACCCTAGTTTCCTTTTATACGTTGCAAGATCAGGGGAATAAACAAGAATCTTCATTATGAAATTATATTTACTTTATTTCGCGAAAATAAAAATTAATCGAATTGAATTTTTGAATACGATTGTCCATCAACTCAGAAAAATTGGTATCATACAGAAACCTCACGGTTTTTTTTGTTATAAAAATATTTGAAATCTTATCGTGACAAACTCTTTTAACTCCAAATTCCGTATTCGATGATAGACGAGCCAGAAAAAAAAAATCATGTACTCTAATATTTATTTTCATTTTGGGTTTATAGGACAAATAATTTAATATCTCCTTTCAACATGCTAACAGTAAAAGCCGGAATAGGGGATCTCGATTCAAATTTGTTCGTATTGACATTGGAAAATATAGAGAGAAAGAAAACTAAAATGATGACTTAATATATATGTATGTATATATTTCACATAGATGGGTGTTAATCGGACGTCGGACGACATGACAAAACGACGTCGGATCTAACAGAAGCACGGTACTCACAGCGACGACGTCGTTTCCAGTTTGGTTCCTCCAAGATTCTCTGCGATCTTGGCGAGCGACTGGAGGTTGCACCGTACAATGACGTCGACGAAGTTGCAAGTTTCGTCCTTTGTGTTCCCCGGCGGAACATCCACAACGTACGACTCCACCACCATGGACCCTTCCCCGGACGGTGACACGTGGAGCGTCGTCACCGACCTATAGTTGGCTAGGCGATGGTCCCCACCGACGACGCTGAAGCTGATGACGTGGCTCTCATCGTCCAGTATCTCGAGCTTCTCGGTGCTTCTCGCGGCGGGGAGGCCCGAGACCACTTGGACCTCTCGGAGGGTGCCCACGTCGCCGTCGCCGAGGATGACGTGGCAGCTCTTCACGAAGTGCTTGTAGGCCTGTGGGTTGTCGAAGCGGCGGACGACGGACCACACTGCCGAGACGGGGGCGGCGATCTCCTGCACGACGGCGGAACAGCACTGGTTGGGGCCCACGCTGTGCGTATGGTAACGCGCCGCCGTGGAGTCGCATGAGAGAGATGGGAAGCGTCTCTGGAACTCGGTGTGCCACGTCACGGTCTGGTTATTGCCGGAATCTGCCTCGCCGTCGGATACAGCCAGTGATATCGCCGGCAGATGAACGGGGAGAGCGGATGGTTTAGGAGGCTGAGCGAGCATGTCGATCTGGTGATCGGTCTGTATCAAATGTTTCTTCTTTTCGATCTCTTTTGATCTATTTTCGGTTTAGGGTTTGTGGGTTTTTCTTCTTTTTTTTGGAAGTTTGATGTGAATTTCGGATTCAAGAGTTGGTTTGGGGGCAAGAACTGTATATAAAGACACAATTTTTTTTTTGGAGATTTAGATTCACAGCGATTATCACAAAGTTGGCTTTGCTGTTCAATGTTTATAGAGAGAGAGAGAGAAAAGTGAGCGAGTTTTCATGTGGGCTGTGGGCGGTGATGAAAACCCGGACTAGTTGCACGTATGAATTTACGCAAATGCCCTCGACTGTTTATCATCGTATGTCGATCGCCATCCCCATTCGTTTTGCTATTAAACAAAAATCCTCTATCTTTTTCTGAAGGAGAAAAATTTGTTATTGTTGCAGGGTTATAGTAAATTAAAACTCAAAATCACTATAACTGTGATTATATATGTATTCACATGATATTAGAAATTTCATTATACTAGCTTGGCTAATTGTATTCTATTTTTTTACGTACAATATATAATATAAAAAAGCGTTTGTGTTGAGTTTTTATTTTTATATTTTTTATTTATCAAACAAGTTTTAGATCAACAAAACCCAAGGGCTAAAACCTTCTCTCTTTCTGTTTTCAATTATGTACTGTTTTTTGTGTCTAAAAATGAAATAGTTGAAAAAAATAAACAAACATCTATTGAACAAAAGAACCCATGTCTCTTTTGGCACCACAATTGAAATATATGAATGGTTCCTTCGTTGTCGGATTTAAAATTTAAAAACCTTAAAGACTTTTATTTATATTGCCAAAATATGAAGAAGAAGAAAGAGAGATGGCAAGGTCGGAGAAATAGGCCGCGTGATACTCATGATTGGGCCGGGCCAGGTGTAACGGGGCCCATATGGTGTCCACGTGGCATGACCTTGACCTCTACGGTCATTATGAATCTTGGCGAATCTATATAAGAGTAAAGAAACCTAAAATATTCAACTACGGTATCATATGTAGTTTCATTTCACAACAACATTGAAAAGAGTTTGTTGTTTTCGCTTGAATTTTGAGAAATGGAAGATCTTCGTGGGTGAAAACATTTAATGATGCCATTAGACTAATATAAAAAGATCAAGTGGTCATGAACCCCTAAAGATTCACACGTCCAAGAAAATCAAGGAACGTGACACGAGATCTCAGCCCGTGATATATATATATAAATTTCAATTTCAATTTCTATATGGTAATATTATGTGGCCTTTCAAGCCAACGAAAAGGGGTTTCTCATTAGACGTTTTTTTTTCTTCCTCTTTTTCTCTCGCATATGATCTAACAAAAATATCAATCCATCTGCATACCTTAGTAAAATATTCCAAAGATCGATTTAGTATGTTTTTTTTTTTATTATATGGGATAAGTAATGTACTATAGGAAGATAAATATAAAATAAGTCCATCAACTATATTATTTATTAGATTCACATTTCACAAAAAAAACTGTATTATTTATTTAAAAAAATATGATATTTTAATTGTCCGGTTATAAAAAAAGAAATAATTTTAAAAAATAAATTCTCAAAAATCTAACTTAGTAAAACATCTTATAATATTTATAAAAATCTATCAACTTATAATTTAAATAAAAAATATATATTTGTTTTATTTTAATAATATAAATGATCTCTTATATAATAAAATTATCTGCATATTATACACTATAAAATATATAATTTATTATTAAATATATTTTTAAAATATATCATATATTAAGATATCACAATTTGGACCAATTTTTTATATAGAATAATATATTCATTTAATAAATATATTTAATTTTAAAAATTATATTTCTATATAAATTTATAATATAAATAATACTGTAAATAAATTATTTAATTCTCAATATCACAAAAAAAACTAAATATTTATATAAATTTATAACATGATATATATATATAAATAGAGTATATAGACTATATGATTCTAAATATCAAAATGAAAACTTAAATATTTAATTTTTTATTGCGTTATTTGGAAATATATAATTTTTTATTTTTTTAAAAAATTAATAGATGTTTATAACAAATTTAAATAGAATTATTTTTAATAATTAATATAGTTGATAATTTTTTTTATGATAATTAATAATTGATGTATTTGTTTTACTAGGAACAATTATTTAGATCTAAATTTTTAAATTTTAGCCTACAAAAAATGATGTTGTGAGAAAACCATCAACGAAAATAAAATATACTAACGATATATGTTGAGAGAAATCTATAAATGAAAATATACACAACAATGCGTATATGTTGGTAATATGTGATACATAAGGTTCATATTTCTTGCACAAGGCACTATTTAAACCTTACTCGACGCTTTGTCTTCACGTAGTGCACAGAATGGGCCGGTACGGGCCGGGCCGCCTCAGGCCCATAACGTATCAATCATGAGGTAGAGGCCCACCAGCCATCAAAGCTTTACGATCGGCCCGAGGCATAAAGGGCTCGGGTGGGTCGACCCGGTCCGTGAGTAATGCTGTAATGGGTTGTATCCGGGTCTTGTTGATGGTTTTAATCGATTAAGGAATATTTTGAAGTTCATCTCATACATAAATATTATTTTATTTTTTTATATACCATGAGGTGTATGACGTTTTTTTCAGACATTAAATATTGACGATATGTAGAAGATTGACTATTGATCCGAACAATCATCTATGAATAACCTAATTTACTTCGTAACCATCCTACAAAGTTGATCAAATCCATATTAACTGCGTATATTTCACCATTATTGCCCTCAACCCAATTGGCTGATTTATTTTTTTTTAGTTTATCCCAAGAATTTACCGTTTTCAAATTAAATAGACCAATATAATTTTATTTCTGTTTTTTATGCAGCGAAATTGATTCGAACCCGCAATCTCAGATCTCATAACAACAAACAATATAAAGAAGAAAATTTGGGTTAGTGAAGAACAAACTTGAATACAATTGTTTCTTACTAATCCAAATCAAAAGGACCTAAACAAGTTGTAAACTCTAGAACCGATCATAGATAGGCTCAATTTACCTCAACGAGGTTATAGCAGGAAAACATTTAAAACCATCGACCGACTGTATTATGTATAATTTTGATCATTTAGAAGCAAATCAAGGCCGTTGTTTATACCAAAAAAAAAAAAATCAAGGCCGCTGATTTCGACGGACAATGACGATTAATCAGCCTTCTAAACTACTGCTGTGTTCGGAGAGGATGAAGAAGAAGGATGGATCATCTTCCACATTCTTCGGATATCGTCACTTCCCTCGTCGTCAAGACATACATCATTGTATATTATTACAAGCCCGTTCGTCTTTCCTGCGAAAATACCCCAAACGCGGATATAAAGCGACTGCAGACGCGCGTTTTCCAATCGCATGCAAGTGTAATTTCTTTTCTTTCTGATACATGCGGTATGTATATATATATATATATATATATATATATATATATATATATATATATATATATATATATATATATATATATATATATAT